TTGAACCCGCAGGCTCAGGCAATCCACTCACCTCAGCCTCCCAAAGCACGGGATTACAGGCTGAGCCACTGAGCCCGGCTAAAAGATGTATTTGTTGAGCTTCCAAAGTTTAAATATTCACTGCCTCATTATATTTACAAAGACAGGCAAACAGGTCTCTGCCCAGAATGCCCACCACACCTTGTCCTCTGACCCTATTCCCAAGTTAATGTCCTCAGGGAAGACTTTCTTGTCCTTACCATTACCCAGCCCCCTCCTTCCACATGTCCCAACCCTTTCACCACTCTATCATGAACAGATGCTGCCTTTTATTGCTCTTATTCATGTACAAGTCTCCCTCTCTCCCTAGTATCCTACATGCTCTGTGAAGACAGGCTATTTTCATGTGTCCATCTGCAGCACAGTGCCTAACACACAGCAGGCATTCAGTAAGTCCCTGAGGAATGAACAAATGCATAAATAGCTTTATGGCTTGGATATTCAAAACTTACAATTTATTTTCAAGTCTACTCAGTTTGAGTTCAAATAGTTCAAAATCAATATAATGCTCCAGGATGCTTCCAACTATTGAAACAACTCAGTTGAAAAATATACAACTCACACTTTATTTTAGTTAGATTCATAATGTAGGCAAAATTAAAAATTATTATAAATATTTAATAATGCTTTATATTTTGTTTTTATTTTATAATACACCACCACAGACACATAAAAAAGTAGAATTATCTAATTAAAACATTTTCCCTTCCTAAGTATGTTTCTAATTCTGAAAACTATAAAAATATTAATGAAAGTCATGTTATATATTTTTCAAAAATAAAACTGACATACCCCATCACCAACTTTACAGGAAAAAGACAGATACAAGTTCTGGTACATTGGGAAGTTAATGGCGGAAAAAAAATTGGTTGGTGTATTTGAATATGAAAACACAAACCACACACACAGTTTGGTCATTAAAACAGCTTCACATTTCTCTAAATGCATACTTGGAGAAAGATGAACTGTCAGCCAACATACAGTAAGTATATCAACTGCTTACATTCCCAAATACTAAAAATCGTGGGTGAAAAACCTAGAAGGAAAATCTTGTGGAAAGCTGGCATAATTAAATGGGCCTTAGACTTCTTATCACTGAAAATTAAGATTCTAATTTTTGTTAGTTCTTGGCTCTGAGGCAAAATAACTTTTTATTTTCCATTATACAATAGCTGTGCAAATGATCTTTTTTGAGAACTGAAAAGTCATTATTATTATTATTTTTTTTAAGTTGGAGTCTCACTCTGTCGCCCAGACTGGAGTACAGTGGCCGCTCCCGGCCACTGCAGCCTGGACCTGCTGGGCTCCAGCAATCCTTCCGCCTCAGCCTTCCAAGTAGCCGGAATTACAGGCATGCGCTACCACGCCCGGCTGATTTTTTTTGATTTATTGTAGAGATGAGGTCTTGCCAAGTTGCCCAGGCGGGTCTCGAACCCGCGGGCTCAGGCAATCCACTCACCTCAGCCTCCCAAAGGCGCGGGATTACAGACTGAGCCACCGAGCCCAGCTGTCATTATTATTATTTGTGATTTACATCTATTACTGTATTGGCGCACTATGGTCTTTAGAATTTACACCACATGAATATACTTGTTCCTTCTGGATGAGAAGTCAAAATAGACTCATAACAGAAGAAAATTCCAAGTTACAGCACACTATGTTAAAGTAAGGCTCCAGTGTGTTTTGGAAATGTGATAAACAAGTTACAGCTTCTTTTTGTATTTACTGGAAAAAAAATCATATGAGCTCTGTCTACCTGGGTCACTGGATTCATATCTCCTCAGAAAACATCTGTGTTTTTTATTTTTATTTTTGAGTTGGAGTCTCGCTCTGTCACCCAGGTTGGAGTGCAGTGGCACATTCATGGCAGCCTCAACCTGTTGGACTCAGGCAATCCTTCCACCTCAGTCTTCCAAATAGCTGGAACTACAGGTGCACGCCACCACACCCAGCTAATTTTTTTGATTTATTTAGAGATGAAGTTTCACCATGTTGCCCAGGCTGGTCTTGAGCCCCTTGGCTCCCAAAGTGCTAGGATTACAGGCGTGAGCCACCATACCCAGCATATCTGTTATATAAACTATTGATAATTTAACTTTTGATTTTGAGTATTTGGTACTATCACTACTCTCTATTTTATGGCTTTTTAAACACTAAGTCCTTAAATATTTGAAAAGTGTCACTATATTCTCATAGTTCAGGAAAAAAAGATGTGAACATCAGCTTGGAAAATTATAAAGCCTTAAAAAAAATCAGTTTTTAAGAAATATTATTTAATAACAGAAATTCACAGTACAGAGGTCAAACAAAAGAATGCATTAGAATTCTATACATGGACCCCTTAAAAAAAAAAGAAAAAGAAAAAGAATCTAGAATCTTGCTTCTTTGTCAAGAGTTGGGGGTAGTGGGAGTAGGGGAGGAAAAAAAGCTCCCACTTAAGTTTGTATACATTAGCAATGTAAGTGTTTTGCTCTTTTTCACTTAAAAAAAACTCTTCAAACAATTCATTTTTGTAAGTCATGTGTTTTAAAAACAATAAACATGATATTAAATTTCCCTCTTAAAAAATCTTGGCCAGTTCACTGTATAGGTTTAAAATAAAATGAACATTAGTTTAAGGACTTATATGAAAAAATGTATAGTTCCAAATTGAAAAGGTAACTATATATATTTAATAACATTACATTCATACAAAGGCTAGAAAGCTTAAGGAGTTCAAAGTCTAAACAAGTTTAAGCAGGTAAATTACTTGATCTCACATTAAGATTTTAATGATCAAATTTTCCAACAAGTAAACCACTAAACCTTACTTAGGAAAAGGGTCTACTGTATTTTGAATATGGTTCTTTTTCCTAAGTTGAGAAAACTTGGGCAAAATTAGTTTTACACAGGCCCATGGTTTAAAAATATTGAGATAAAAGATTTTTAAAGACTTTTTCAAACTCTTTTGCTTACAGATACAAATTTATAGAATTAAAGAGATCTATAATATATATCAAAGGTCACAGCTCATTTATTTGAGATTTTTTGGTCCTTAAACTTATGAGGAATTATACTAAATGACCTATAGTTTCTTCTAGCTCTAAAGTTTTGATTATGTTATTCTGCTTTTAAGTAGTAAAGATCATATCTCAAAGTTGTCTAAAAAGACAAACAAGCTCGTCCTTAATTAAACATGTTTATTTTTTTCACCTCTTTTCTTGCTTTTAATCCCACTTACTAGTCAGTTAGTGATTAGTGGGTAACAAATATCATATATTATACTCAACTGATTTATTTTCTTATAGAAAGGAGGTCTCATTATGTTGCCCAGGTCAGTCTCAAACTCCTGGGCTCAAGCAGTCCTCTCACCTGGGCCTCCCCAAGTGCTAGGATTACAGGCGTGAGTCACCATGCCCGGCCTCAATTGATTTTTAATCCCTACCTCTATTCACCCTCCTCCCTCCAGAGCCTAGAGTGCCCTAGCACATGGTAAGTACTCAACACTTATCGGATAATCTTGACTGAGTAGCAATATGCTAAAGATGTCTCAAGAATTAAAAATAATCTGGATGTGATAGTAGTTGCTTCTGTAAAACCCCCAAACAATAATTTCAAGCTTCTAGTCTGCTTTTCAGATATACTTTGGTTTGTCTTTATAAGTAATAGAAAGAGAAAACACAGCACAAGAACACATGGTTAAATCATTATAGCTACACTACAAGCAAGGACACATAACAAAATTTAAGTTTGAATTCATGTACTGAAGAATGAATTTTATTTATACTACTAGTAAATCCCAGCTACTCCAGTTACTCTGAGATATCATTATTTTACCAATGACAGGAAAAATATCTTCTTCCAGTATTTCAGGTCTAACAATTGTAATTAAATTGCTAAGTTATGCTATAGAGTAAGAAGCAATTAATGAATTTTTCAGAAATAAAAATATGTATGTACATTACCCTGATACCTAGCCCAAAATATATCTAACAACACATTTTCTTGATTTCTATTAGTCATAAAAATAAAGGAAAAATATATTGCAAGTATTTTCTTTATAGACAATTTCAATTAGAAAACAATAGTTTAATGAAAACAACATAAGTGGTTCATGTGAGTGGACTGATATGGAGGCAAGAGAAGTACTCAACTCTTGACAGACAATAGACTGTCAACTGCAACTGAAGAGTGTCTGCCTCAGTGGCACCATTCACAGGCAGGAACTAGATTTTGACACATCTCAACTTTATCTTATATCCAAGGGAAATGCAGGTCAGTAGGTTATAGTTACGAACCCCTTCTTTTAGCTTGCAGTATGTAGCCTTTCGATTTGATAATCCCTCTACTTTTCACAATGACCGAGTATCGCAGCAGCCACAGTGGCACCCACTCGTGCGCCTGAATGTCAGGGATGCTTTCCTGGAGAGCTTCTTGGAAACTTGCTTCAGAAAGCAGTTCTAAAACAAATGACAAAACCACAGTGTTAAATTCTAAAACAAAAGCACTTTACGATTTAGGGAAGCATTTAACACAACAAAAGAAATACCTCAATACTGAATACAAAATATGCCACTTCTTCATGTGTGCTATGAATCTTAACCAGAATATAGAAACAACCAGGCAGTTATTTAAAAAGTTGCCTAGCCAGGTATGGTGGTTTACGCCTATAATACCAGCACTTTGGGAGGCTGAGATGAGAGGACTGAGACCAACCTGGGCAATATGGTGAGACCTTCTCTCTACAATAAATAAAAAAAGTAGCTAGATGTGGTGGCACACACCTTTAGTCCCAGCTACTCAGAAGGAGGGCCTGAGCCCAGAAGGCTGAGGCTGTGGTACCCATGATCACGCCACTGCACTCTAGCCCGGGTGACACAATAAGACTCTGACTCGAAAAATAAATAAATTTTAAAAAGTATATACCTGTACCCCAGCTTATTTAATTCGTAACTTTTGCTGAGTGGAATCTAGACATTTGTATTTTTTTTTTTTTTTTTT